CCTTTGTTGATGTCTGTTATATGGCCTTTGTTGATGTCTGTTATATGTCCTTTGTTGATCTCTGTTATATGGCCTTTGTTGATATCTGTTATATGTCCTTTGTTGATCTCTGTTTTATCGCCTTTGTTGATGTCTGTTATATGGCCTTTGTTGATGTCTGTTATATCCTTTGCTTTTTCCCACTAGGATGATGTCTGCGTTGCTGAGCCTAACAGTTACTTTGTCGCCTGTTTCCTAAAGACTGATGGCTCTCTCAATATGTTTCTCTCTTATTGGTTCAATACTCCTCGTGCCACCTCATACTACGACAAGGCATTCTTGGTAACAAATGAGACAGGTAACTTTGATAACCATTCACATGTGTACAGGTACAGGCATTATTTACATAGATGTCGGTACATATTGTAACTACAGAGTATATCTAAATAGTAGTAAACTTACATTAATAAAGTCCCACATACTGATTTGTCGAACGTTATGGTTATTATACAATGCTATATGTACAGTACAGTTGGATATGCTGGTCTGTTTAGATCTGTGGATACTACAGGACATTTGGTGGCTAGACACATACGCTACTTATATCTATGGTTTTATATCGGTTCATATATTTTGGGAAAGCAATAACAAAAAGCATAGCTCGGTGGGACATATCCGATGCGACCAGATAAAATCGGGGTAATTGTCGGGTAACAATGTATGTATTTATAAGTAACTGTTATATGTCTTGTATTCATTCTCCAGATATCTGCAAGGACAAGGGATGTGAACACATATGTGTTTCCAATGGCACCTCCACGCATGCGTGTCTCTGCAAGGAAGGTTTTACATTGAATAGTGACAGCAGAACATGCACAGGTAACTAAAAAATATTGATAAACTCAGCCACATCGTTACTGCTCGGTCGGCGCAGGGGATAGCGTACTCGTCCTTTACAAAGATGGTAAGAACTCGATCATCTAATCGAGGTAAATTGGTAATGGGTTACTTGTCCACGGGTTTTTTCTTTTGGAACTCCAGTCCACATTAAGACCCCTGCACGCTACCATCCGGGTCAATAAGGATGAATGATATATGTTGATATAACTTGGTTTATAAATGTTGCAAAATACATAACTTTTAAGCTTTAAACAAGATAACGTTATTTGAAGGGAAGACATAAAGACAAAGTGAGTATTTTTACCGACATACAACAGTGAATTCTCCTTTTGTAATATGTGCCGATTAGGAACATTAATTTTTTCACAAATTATAAATAATGTAAAAGAAACAGCTTGTCTGGGGCATAATTGATATATTGTTGTCGATATCTTGACAAAAGTCAAATATCGCCCACGTAAAGTGATTAGCATACTGTAAGGACGGTAACTGACCTTTCAATTAAAGTCAATTAAGGGCTTGTTTTTTTCAGAGACATATATATTACATATTATTAATAATTGTAATATCCGTCTCTGATATTGTTTTGTGAAACAGAAGCCTTGTAATCAATACTTTTATGACAATAAAATGATAAACATGAAAAGAAATATCTGTCATTGAAGAAAAAGGCCAGCAATCAAAAAGCATATTCGTTTCCACTCTTTGTATCATGTTTGAGATGCTACAAACTAATTGTCGGAGACCAGACGTCTACGATTACATTTGTTGACGATAACCTTGACCACGACCTTGACGTTATCTTTCTAGAGGAACACTACCTGCACGCTTCCGGTGTCCTCGTCAGTAACGGCACCCACATCTGTATGTCAGAGATGCGCAGTATGTCGGGAGGAACACTTGACCCTATCTGTATCCGCGCCAACTTCAGCGATGTACGCCACCTGGCGGCGGATGCCAGCACTAACACAGTGTTTTACTATGACAAGGCTCAAAGTGAAATTAGTGCCCATGATATCATAACCGGCGCAACTACCGTTCTTGCTTCTGCTGGCAATGTGACAGGTAAATTGACTAATTTTATATAACATATTGATTTAGACCATCCATGTAAAGTGAAAGTACATACGAATATTATTTATTCTACACTAAAGAAAATCGGTTAAAATACAAAAAAAAAAGTGTTGTTGGTTTATGTGTTTAAGTGAGTGATAATATTTTCCGAACAAATTATTGTTTAATAGACAAATTACAAGAAGACACAATGATTAGATAAAAATCATGCGAACTAACGGTCAGAAAGAGATAGTTACTGTAGTTATAGTGCTGCTGAAAGAAATATCAAGAGAGGTTCCATACAGTTCTTAAAAGTGCTGCATTATTCAATTCAATAGCAACCGAGACGATATTGTATTCCGGAAACTTTCATCTAATAGAACACGTTTTATTGGTGAAATCCATTTTCACCTTGTATTAATTTCACAAGCATGTTTAACTATGAAAATATTAACGTAAAATAAGTCCTCTGCTATGCTCTCCTTGCAAAGGCGAAAGTTGATCACTAATTTTGTCGATAACGTGTTTTAACATACAGGACTTGTATATGACTGGATCACGAAGAACCTGTTCTGGGCAGAGGCAGACATTGGCGACATAAGAGTAGTCAATGTAAACGACAAAGCAAGCTCTGTCGTGTATTCCAATATCCGCGGTCTTGGTCCCATAGCGATTAGTCCTCATAACCAGTAAGTATGCACCTAACCACTAGCATTTGTAGAGGAGATTGAAAACCATGTCGTCATATTTGTAAGGAATATGGACCATTGGATACCATGTAATATTTGTAAAAGGTATTGACCATTGGATACCATGTAATATTTGTAAAAGGTATTGACCATTGGATACCATGTAATATTTGTAAAAAGTATGGACCATTGGATACCATGTAATATTTGTAAAAGGTATTGACCATTGTATACCATGTTATATTGGTAAAAAGTATGGACCATTGGATACCATGTAATATTTGTAAAAAGTATGGACTATTGGATACCATGTGATATTTGTAAAAAGTATGGACCATTGGAAACCATGTTATATTTGTACAGAATAGGAAACATTGAATGCCATGCCGTGTTTGCAAATAATATGTACCTTTGAAACGCATGAAATATTTGTACAGAATATGGACCATTGAAACGCATGAAATATTTGTACAGAATAGGAAACATTGAATACCATGCCGTGTTGGTAAAGAATATGGACCTTTGGAACCCATAAAATATTTGTACAGAATATGGACCTTTGAAACCCATGAAATATTCGTACAGAATAGGAATCATGTTTATTTTTGCCGTGTTTGTAAATAATAGGGACCATTAAATACCATACAATATTTGTACAGACAAAGAAACATTAGATACAACGTCATATTTGTAGGAAATAAGATTATGAATATCTATCTACGGTACAAGTAACATTTGTTATTGATACTAAAAATATAACGGTACTGATGATAACAACTATTTTGTAGAAGTCTTTTCTGGATGAGCCAGGAATTTGACGGATCTGTAACGGTGTACGCCGGAAGTATGGACGGATCCAATACGACGGTTATTGTAAGGCCGGAAGACACTTTTATTCCATCAGCGATGTACGCTGATCCATCCACTGGCAGGTGTGTAGCAAATTTCGGGACAAAGACGTCACTTTCCGGCGGCGACGTCATCGTTAAGAGTTGTTGTTTTTTGCGTTAAATCATGTTTCTATGAAAATATAGGACTAACCAAAATTTTACCAAATTTGTATCTAAGCTTCTTCGTTGTGATTCGTGTATCAGTTACTATTATCATTTGTCAAAGGAAAACGTGATATTAACCGGAATGTTACATAAAAAAAACCGTGTTTTTCTGACCTTTTCAGCAGTCAAAACCCGGAGGTGACCATATTTAAATGTCCAAGTGATATGGTTTTAACAAGAAGATTGTTTAGTAAAGAGATTTGTAACTGGCACCTCTTTGTCCTTATCAACAGTGAAATAATGGTCTTTTATTTGTTTTATCATTGAAATGTGCAGCTAAAACGCTTGCTGAATTCCTGTAATGCCTTACGATCGTATGTGATCAAATCGTTCGGTCGACCTGTAGTTGTACTGGTACCATACGTACACAATCATTAAGAGGTTATTTGCGCTGTAGAACTTTCAAGGATGATGTGTTTGGAATTCTGTCAAAACGTTCGTATCTAGCAGCGTATCTATACGTTAAACAAACCACTGAGATTTTCAATGTGTCTAAAATAAGAAAAATATTCAAAGTTAACTGAACAGCTTTGGTCAATTCAAAGAAAAGATTACATTTGAATATGAATTGTTTTACTTGAATATCAAAAATGTTCTTTAATTTAAAGACACTCGAAGCTATGCCCCATGTACGAATGGATATATTAGAAGCCTAATAATTGATGTTATACAGATGTTTTGGTAGATTCATAGACACAAGAAGTAAGGAAAACACGCTTCCCCCTAATATCATTGTTGTATTTACAGACTATTCTATCTGGACTTCTTTACACTGGTAGCCATTAACCCAGACGGAAGTGACCCTGTGGTGTTATACACCTCCGTTATGACATCCGATCTCGTCATTTATAAGGTAATTTGAAAAGAAATCCACATTATAAGCCAGCTTCTTCATAACTGATTTCATTGATGACATGTGATATGAATTAGTTTGGTAATCGGGAATAATTTACTTGAAACAATATTACTCGAATATGTCATTTATGTTTCAATGCTGTGTGTATTACATCGCCAGAGGTACGCCCTGTGGATCTCCGACGATGACGATTTCCTGTACGGGACCTCATACTTCAATGCGAACAAGGACACCAGGCTTCATGACGAGGAATTCGGACAGGTCACTGCTCTGGCAGTCTTTGACATCACCCTTCAAAAACAGGAACTAAGTAAGCGATAATATTGTCAATACTGTAGCACATCATTGATAGTTTGGCCGATCGGTAGCCTGAAGTGGTTGATAATGTAAATTACGCACGTGATGGTACACTTTTTACTGAAGGGAGAGATATACAGGTAGATACCAGGAAATTTATTTGTGTAGAAAAATATAAATACATAAGCTTTGTTATAACTCCAAACGATTTATTACCCAGTTTCCTACCTCAAGTTATATGCTTGTGCATATTTAATAATGCTGCTACTATCTGATTGGTTGATGATCTCAAGATGCTTACTTTTGAAGGATCAATACGATATTTATGGAATTTGTCTACTATACTTTTCTACCTAATTCCTGTCCTGAAGCTCGCTGCGCGACTATTTGCAAATATTCAATGAAGTTACTGCAATCTAATTAATTATTCAACAAAAAATGTTTGTTTCTTGATCATGGGTGATAAATTCGAATCAGCCATCATGCCACATATATGTATGCTGACGCTGGCGACATCAACTCTCGATTTTTATATTATCCTGGGGTACTGTAAAGACTGTCTGACCCTGTTCTTACAAGGGATTAAAATATGAGTTCAGATGAATAACGAGGAAACTGTTAATTTGATAGCTACATGAAATGCAGTTAACTTGATAGCAATTAAAATGATAAAGCATCTCCTAAAAGAGATCTTATATGTAACTTATCTCAATGTATTTCGATCCTGGTTATAACGCGATCTAGAAACACCGACATATATATTATTATGATATTATTATAACAAATTATATTATTATTACATATTATCATATTATTTTATGCTCTTTTATATTATTATAATGTTATTTGTTGTAATTGTCATGCCATTTATATGAGTATGACTCTACATATGAGTATAATTTAATGTACAGTACATGGTAATGAATTTTCCTTTAGTATGAAATAATTTTCTACCTTTTTCTCTGCTAGGTGTCTGCAGTAGAGTACCAAACGGTGGATGTGACGATATCTGCCTCCCATCTGATTCAGGACCTGTGTGTAAATGTAGCTACGGTTTAACTCTCAAAACAGATAATAAGACGTGTTCATCAGGTAAGACATTAAGTAGGAAATCAAACGTACATTGGTCAAGATAATACAGGTAACATGAAAGATAAACTACACAGGTAACAAGTTTATATGTACATTAGGTAAAACTCTTAATACAGGTTACTATAAACATGTAATATAAAATACACAGGTAACATATTAATACATCAGGTAAGACAAGAAATACAGGTAACAACAAAGATATAAGACAAAATACACAGGTAACAAGTTTGTATGTACTTTAGGTAAAACTGTAAATAAAGGTAACAATAAACATGTAATATATAATACATAGGTAACAAATCCATACATCAGGTAAGACAAGAAATACAAGTAACAACAAAGATATAAGATAAAAGGCACAGGTAACAAGTTTGTACGTACTTTACGTAAAACTGTAAATAAAGGTAAAAATAAACATGAAATATAAAATACACAGGTAACAATTTTGTATGTAAATTAGGTAAAGCTATAAATAAAGGTAACAATAAACATGTAATATAAAATACACAGGTAACAAATCAATTTATCAGGTAAGCCAAGAAATACAAGTAACAACAAAGAAGTAAGACAAAGTGCACTAGTGAAAAGTTAATTTATACATTAGGTAAGGCAAAAATGCACATGCAAGACACAATAATAGGTAACAAGTTAATATATACCTAAGGTAGGACAATAAAAACAGGTAAAGTAAGTTAAATTATACCCTTGCTGAGACAATGCGACTCGGTCCTGGACACTTTATGTTCGTCAGATTACATGTATTTGTATATCAAAAACTATGTCAACGTTACTTGAAGAAATTCAGAGATTCGTTTGAAAACAATGATTGAAAAATGTATTACTTAATTTGAAATCCACTAAAATTTAGTACCCTTTTCGTCAATACGCTTATCATTTTACAGTACCTATGACGGATAACTTCCTGCTTATCTCTGATATTGCCAACTACAAACTTTACCAAGTGTCACTTACTGATGGGAATAATGTTACACTTTTGGAGAGCGAGCCATCTTTCTACGCTACCGGGTCTGCATACAACCCTGCTGATGGCAGGATTTATATCACTGATGCAGCTTCTGAGACCATCTTCAGCATGCTGCCAAATGGCTCCAACAGAACAACTGTTGTCCAGTTTTGTAAGTTAAACACTGTCTCTGTTCTTTAAGTCAAATGTGTCTAATTGTTTGTTCTTTACATAAGATGTGCCTAACTGTGATCTGTAAGAAACCACTGTCTGACCTCAAGCCACCACCTGTCTTGCGTTTCCAGTTAAGCCTGCGCAATTCCTGCATTATATTACCCACACTTGCATTAATGATCTAGATTGTCCTCCCCGATTTTATCCCGTCAGAATAACAGTATTGTTTAGTTAATTGTTCTCACTTTTGGTTATCAAGTTCACTAAAACCTTATTTATGAATCAGACACTTCAATAGCCACGAAGTTATCGGAAATGTTAAATGTTCAAGATTGATGATTTTGAAACTGTACAGATTTAAACGAGCTCAGTCTTTGATAAAAGGGTCTTAAAAGCAATTTATCCATATCTGTCATTATCTAGTTCACCAGGTGTTGTTTGGCTTATCGGTATATTCAATCACTATGTTTGTCCTACAGCGGGTAAGGTACCGGAACGACTGGCTTTCGACGGCTCCACTAGAAATGTCTACTACAGTGTGTCCGATATCTTTAGTTTTGGGGCCGATGGGTATATAGGCGTTTATGATCCAACCAAAATGGTGCACAAGATTCTAGTTGAAAACTTGGAGTCTCCGAGAGGTCTTGCGGTATTCCCATCGGAAGGGTAAGTTAAATGCCTAATTTTGTTTTTCTTGGCAAGAATATTGTCAAAATATAACTATAATGTCATGTATGGTTTATTTTGTGCGTCTATTACACTGTCTTGATGCCAAGAGCAGCATGCTCGCTGAGTAACTTCAAGAAATTTTGTTCTTTTTCAAATTTCTTTATCGAGTGAATTAGGAATTTGATTCATGACAGTCGAGGTAAGCATTGCTTGATTCTCAGTATTTATAAGCAGTGTCATAATATTTCTTTGTTACTTTTAAGGCTTGTTACATTGTACTTTTATCATGCCCATGCCATCTCTTTGTGTGGGTAAAACAAAAGTATAATTTAATATTGATGAAAGAGAATTGACCTTGTCACTAAATATTCAAACATTCATTATATAAAGCAATTAACTTTAATGGTATAAAGCTATTACGGATGAAAGATTTCATCCAATTCGTTTATAATTTTCAGAAATGCGGGTACTATTTATGTAGATTACAATCTGTATCTGTTAATCAAATCTTTAATTGGATCAAAATTGGCAGTGACAGTGAATGTATTGAAAGTCCCTGAAATATTGGCTTTCATTTACTGTAGCAAATTCAATCTTTCTTTGTTATCGTTCATCTAAAAATGGACCAAAGCAATAGCCGAGAAATTATCACTAGAATTATGAATAATTGATTTAAAACGCTCTACACACTTTCTAAAAGTTATGTTCATCATTTATAGCATCCTTTCTTTTTCTTAATATTTTAGATGGATTTCTTTTTGTACAATCTCTAAAATAATAAGAGGTCTACCTTAGAATAATGGAGACTACTTCAGTATTAGCGATAAACTGAATTTTGACTTGGTGTAAAATGGTAAGCTGCCTTGTCGAAAAATAATTTTCAACGCTGCTACATTAAAAACGTATTTGTTGATATATCCGGTGGCGATAATATATCGTATGTATTGTAATATTTCAATCTACCAGATTGCTGTTTGTCGCGGATTACGGATCAATCAGCTCATCAATCGACAGCGTCTGGATGGACGGGACAAACAGAAAAAATCTTGTGACAGACTCGGACGAACTTGTAGCACCAACCGGTCTGACTTTGGACTATGCAAGTGAGTAGATTTGGTGTGAACTTCAGAGGTTTGCAAACAATAAAACACATATATACATTCCATTTAGTTTCCTTAATAATGGAAAATGGAAAATCTAGATGCACATTTCCCAAAAGGTGAGTACAAAATGTAGTGTCCATTAGTTGTTTCCAAAATTACAGAAAGGTGATGATAAACTGTGGCATCCATTTGTTGTATACAAAAATACAGTGATAACAAGCTAGGGTATTCCATTATTTTTCTATATAGATAGTCTAGCAAACTGTTACAATATATAACTTGTATACGTAGCCAAGGATGACAAACCAAAGAGGAAAAGTGATGTAACAATGCAATAAAGCAGTAGCTCTAAATATTGTCTGAAATAAGAGAGTGATCTATATCGACAACATATTTTACGGATAAAATGAATATCGTGTAAGATAAAATGGTGATTCGGGATGACATTTTAAGAGATCAAACAAAGATTGTTCCAAGATAAGATGGTGTTCTTGGTGGACAGTATTGTTCGAAAATAAAATGTATTGTTTTAGATAGATGGTGTTTTGATTGTCATTGTGTCTGATAAAACAAATATTGTTTCAGATAAGAAAGTATACTGGGTCGACAATTATAATGACGATATCCACAGCTGTGACCTTGATGGTGGCCAAGTGACCCATTTTCTGACGGAGCCCATTGGTTACTTGACTGACATTGTTATCCAAGGCGACTACCTATACTACGTAGGCATGAACTTACCGTGAGTACTAGAGACAATGGATTATCCATATCCTCATAATAGTGTGCTACATTAACACGTACCTTTGATATATATCCCCAAAGAACATTTGGGCTTTTTTGTTTATGTGCTGAACAAAATGTCCTTAAGTCTATCCTCATGCCTACCTGTATCATTCTTTAGACTACCTGTATAATAAACTAAACTCTATCCTCAGCCTACCTGTATCATATACCCATCTCTTTCTTTAGACTACCTGTATGATATACTAAACTTTATCCTCAGCCTACCTCTGCAAAATGCTTTTATTTTTTTATCAGCCTACCTGTCCGATATCCTAAACTTAAGCCTCAACTAGGATATCCTAAATTTTATCCTCAGTCTCCTGTACGATATCCTAAACTTTAGCCTCAGTCTCCTGTACGATATCCTAAACTTTAGCCTCAGCCTGGATATCCTAAACGTTATCCTCAGCCTACCTGTACGATATCCTAAACTTTATCCTCAGCCTACCTGTACGATATCCTAAACGTTATCCTCAGCCTACCTGTACGATATCCTAAACTTTATCCTCAGCCTACCTGTACGATATCCTAAACTTTATCCTCAGCCTACCTGTACGATATCCTAAACTTTATCCTCAGCCTACCTGTACGATATCCTAAACTTTATCCTCAGCCTACCTGTACGATATCCTAAACTTTATCCTCAGCCTACCTGTACGATATCCTAAACTTTATCCTCAGCCTACCTGTACGATATCCTAAACTTTATCCTCAGCCTACCTGTACGATATCCTAAACTTTATCCTCAGCCTACCTGTACGATATCCTAAACTTTATCCTCAGCCTACCTGTACGATATCCTAAACTTTATCTTCAGCCTACCTGTACGATATCCTAAACTTTATCTTCATACTGCTTGTATGATATCCTTAACTTTAACTTCAGCTGATCTATGTGACATCCTACAATCCATCCACAGCCTACTGTTATGATATCCTAAACGCTTCTATCAGCCCTTCTTTAGCAGACATAGACTAGATCATTCGTGTTTTAAAATTATACGTTTTTGTGCATTGTGAATTGTGAAAAGAAAGAAAAGGAACATGTATTAATGACCATCATATATATTGTGTTTTTATAGAAGTGTGATGAAAGCCGAGAAGGCAACTGGAAACAAAATGACGTATATGAGCCCAACAGCTGAGCTAGGAGCTCTTGAGACTGTCTCTGTACAACCAGGGGACCTCCAGCCAGGTAAGTTTGATACTATATTTAAACAACCAGGGGACCTCCAGCCAGGTTAGGTTGAGACTATCTGCATACAACCAGGGGACCTCCAGCCAGGTTAGTTTGAGACTATCTGTATACAACCGGGGGACCTCCAGCCAGGAAGGCTTGAGACTATCTGTATACATCGAGGGGACCTCCAGCCAGGTTAGTTTGGGACTATCTGTATACAACCGGCGGACCTCTGGCTAGGAAGGTTTAAGACTAGCTTTATAACCTCAGGGGAACCTCCAGCCAGGTAATTTTGAGACTATTTCTATACAGCCAAGAGGACCTCCAGCCTGGTAAGTTTGAGACTATCTCTATTTAACCAGGGGGGCCTCAAGCCAGGTAAGTTTGCCACTATTTCTATACAACCAGGGGGACCTTCAGCCAGGTCAGTTTGAGACTATATTTATACAACCAGTTGACCTCCAGTAAGGTAAGTTTGAGACTATAATCATACAACCAGTGGACCTCCAGCCAGGTAAGTTTGAGACTATCTGTATACAACCGGGGGACCTCTAGCCAGGTAAGTTTAATATTTATAGAGCCAGGGGACCTAGACTTATTTGTTTAAACCCATATTTATTATACAAGTGAGGTTCATATGCCTTTCTTGGATACCGGATCAGTCCATCCATCAATTGCTACACAGTATTTAACCTTCTGCAAAATTGGTTATCGTTTACTGAATGAAATTTATGCAAAAATACTCTTACCCTTATCTTTTTTTTTAAATCTTCATTAGCCGATTGTGCAACTCTTCATATAAAATCTGTATTGAAAATGTATGTGATATAGTGACATAAGAATATACCCTCTCGGTTAAATTTTCCATGCGAGAATTATGAAAATGGTGTACTTAAAGGAATCCAAACCCTTTTGTTTCCAGTGAATAGCCACTGTCAGAATAACAACGGAGGATGTAGCACCTTCTGTCTACCAATTCCATTCGCTCGTAGCTGCGGATGTGAGGAAGGGGTGCTACTTCTGGAGGACAAAATGACATGTCAGGGAGGTAGGTGTAACTGTAATAACCACTGTCCTGATGGTATCATTGTATACACACTGCCGGGGAGGTAGGTATCATTGTGATGAATACGGTTAGGGATGTTATTAGCATATCTATACACACTGTAAGTGATGATGGTAATATTGTTATACACTGTCATTGATGTAGGTATAATTGTAATACACTGACATTGATGTAGGTATCATTGTAAAACACTGACATTGATGCAGGTATCATTGTAATACACTGTCGATAATGTAGGTATCATTGTAATACACTGTCGATAATGTAGGTATCATTGTAATACGCTGTCAATAATGTAAGTATCATTGTAATACAGTGTCAGTGATGTAGGAATTATTGTAATACACTGTCATTGATGTAGGTATCATTTTTCTGCACTATCAATAATGTAGGTATCATTGGAATACACTGTCAATGATGTATGTGTCATGGTAATACACTGTCAATAATGTGGGTATCATTGTAATACACTGTCAATGATGTAGTTATCATTGTAATACACTGTCAATGATGCAAGTATCATTGTTATACACTGTCATTGATGTAGGTATAATTGTAATACACTGACATTGATGTAGGTATCATTGTAATACACTGTCAATGATGTAGGTATCATTGTAATACACTGTCAATAATGTAAGTATCATTGTAATACACTGTCAGTGATGTAGGAATTATTGTAATACACTGTCATTGATGTAGGTATCATGGTAATACACTGTCAATGATGTATGTATCATGGTAATACACTGTCAATAATGTAGGTATCATTGTAATACACTGTCAATGATGTATGTATCATTGTAATACACTGTCAATAATGTAGGTATCATGGTAATGCACTGTCAATAATGTATGTATCATTGTAATACACTGTCAATGATGCAAGTATCATTGTTATACACTGTCATTGATGTCGGTATCATTGTTATACACTATCAATGATGTATGTATCATGGTAATACACTGTCAATGATGTAGGTATCATTGTAATACACTGTCAATAATGTAGGTATCATGGTAATACACTGTCAATGATGTATGTATTATGGTAATACACTGTCAATAATGTAGGTATCATTGTTTTGCACTATCAATAATGTAGGTATCATTGTAATACACTGTCAGTAATGTTGGTAATATTGTTTTACATGGTCATTGATGTAAGTATCATTGTAATACACAGTCAATGATGTCGGTATTATTGTAATACACTGTCATTGATGTAGGTATCATTGTAATACACTGTCAATGATGTATGTATTATGGTAATACACTGTCAATAATGTAGGTATCATTGTTTTGCACTATCAATAATGAAGGTATCATTGTAATACACTGTCAGTGATGTTGGTTATATTGTTTTACATGGTCATTGATGTATGTATCATGGTAATACACTGTCAATAATGTAGGTATCATTGTAATACACTGTCAATGATGTAGGTATCATTGTAATACACTGTCAATGATGTAGGTATCATTGTAATACACTGTCAATAATGTAGGTATCATTGTAATACAATATCAATAATGTAGGTATTATTGGAATACACTGTCAATGATGTATGTATCATTATATTTTGTCTCATAAGTATCATTATATTTTGTCTCATAATTATGATCTGTTTGACTTGCAGTGAAGAAGGAGTGTCCTAGAATTATTCCGTTTGGCTCCCTGGTTCCTGACATAGACTGTTTCGCTATAGAGGGCTATAAGTGTCGGGTGACATGTAGTGAAGGTTATCGCAGGAATCCAGCTCATACTTTCGACAAAATGACTTGTACCAGCACTGGGCAATGGGATTATGACGTGAACACTATTTGTGAACGTAAGTTTGTATGGTTCTTCAGAAATTATAATAATCTAATTTACATTGTGAAAGACTGAATACTTATCGAAAAGAGAAAAGAAGTTTGTATTGGTAATAAGTCATTCATCTATAACAAATTTTTGATTGCAACAGATTGAAAATTGAAAATTAGAATCAATTTAACAAATACACTTAAACTCCTCAACAAGAATTTCACTGAAAAATATTTTAGACAAAGGCCTGGTGATTATTCCTTTACTTCATCTGCTTCAAATTTCTCAACCTGTTTCCAACGATAAACAATCTATAATAAGTTTCCTTTCCAGATATTGAAGAATTTTTCCTGTTTTTTAATTATTATTGGGTTTTTTTTTATTTAATTGAAATAATTAATGAGGCGTGTTGAGTTAAAACTTTTAACACGCATGTCTTTGTTCTCTCCGGTTCACTTAGTTAAGTCGACAGAAATACAACATTACCAGCAAGTTATTACTTGCTCTTCATTGTTTCACTTAAATTCAAGGATCGCGTATTTTCAGCCTGATTGTGTTACTGGTCTATTACTTAAAACTTGTTTTAATGATAGCTAAAACAACTGTATGTCTTTGAACTCATTTTTTGAAAATGCTGTCGCCCAGACGCATTTAATGAGATAAATGTTATGTCCATTGATCAATCACACTGTCGTATCGCCATTCCTACTAATCGCACCATTCCGACCATGACTTGTAGCGGGAATTTACCTCGTCACAGTTAACATAAAATATTAATTAAAGTAAAAAACTAAACACAAGTGTCATAATTATTATGTGTCCTGGCATTTTGAATATGAATTGTCATTATTTCGACACAAATACCACTCATTAGCTTAAGTAGACAAAATGCTTGTATTGTCGAGAAAAGTGTTTAGTTCTAATATAAGCATCTGAAAACTAAACTGTTAAATGTAAGCATCCATACTTCGTAATTCTGTTGGTATTTATAAAGAGCGTGGTCGGGTTTTACTGAACACTTGAGGGGAAAACCTATTATCAAAAAATAAATGTGTGTTTTTACGCACTCGGGCGTGTATGGTAACATATCTGAACAATAAGGCGTAATTTCTACCAATATTGGGTTTGAATTGGAGGGAGATATAACGTCATTATGAGGTTCGTTCTATGACGTTACGTGGAGGTAGCTGCTGAACCAGTCGGCTATTAATAAACACCACGGTTGGTATTACTAGAACGAATATTTCAGTTGATTCTTATTGGAATGGTGATTGAAATATTACGAAATTAAAAGCTCATTTATTTTAGGCTACTTCTTGGATATTTTTAGAAATCAGTGTCAGTATTTATACCTTAACATATATCCTCGTTAAAACTTTATTTTTCGGGCAAAGTTGCGTACACTCATGTTGGAAAATGTCTGTCTCAAGCGTTGTTTGTTCCATACACATTCAGAGAAAAACGTAGAAAGTGTAAATCGTTTGCAGTATCAATCTACATTGATATATTTGTTTCTAGTGAAAACAAAACAACTGGTTTTAAAATAATGCATTTCTGATCGTTGTCCACATGTGTATTTGTAATAATGTACCACATACAAATTTATATGAAAACACATGTATATTAATTGAATTTTGACTTTGACTTGTTATAGCCGTGACATGTCCGCAAGAAATACCAAATGGTCAGTTATCAGGTGGGTGCGACCGGTCGGTAAACGCTGTATGTTCAGTGCAGTGTAACACCGACTACACCCCCGGCCCCACGGGATCCTTAGTCAGCTGTCAGAGAACCGGCTACTGGACGCCTGATAGTTCCACAACTTGTATACCAAGTAAGCCATACCTTGTTTCTTTTTTATTTTCTAGTTCACGAATTGGTAAGTCAAAGGTTTATGTTTTGATCACGGTGATATATATCATTTCAACTAAATTGTCTTTTCAACTGTCTCCTACTGAGATTTGTTTTACTGGAGAGAGGACCGCTTTTTGTATTATGAGTATTGACGTCTGGTATATATAACGAGCAGTTCCTTGTAGCATTAATGTCTTGTCTAGTCGACCATTTCCTTAAGTAACTGTTCTTTGGTATTGTGAACCAATCTCTTCGTGATGAATATTTGATATGCTGTATCAGTTCCTTTGGGCATTGGTGCGTTTGTTCAGCCTATTCATTAAGATCTATAATTATTTCTTTGTATACTTTGATTTCTTCGGCAGCAAAAGATGCTATGCGCGTATGAATCGTTATAGTGTATTGCGATAGATGATTGGATTGCCGATGTATGGCTTACACGTACATTTGATTTGTTGCAGTTGTAAGATGCACGCCGAGTGTTCAGAATGGTATGCTGAGTGCTGACTGTAAAGTAGGTAGCACCTGCTCAATCACCTGTAATGAAAACCACTCGTTGAGTTCTCACGTCCTATCTGTACACTGTCGCGCTGACGGAACCGTCAGTGTCAACCCAAACACAGTCTGTGAACGTAAGTAAAATACCACCCATATGACACCATCACTGTGAAGTCTAACACTGTCTGTGAACGTGAGTAAAATACCATCAATATAACCCCATCACTGTCAAGTCTAACACTGTCTGTGAACGTGAGTAAAATCCCATCCATATACCACCATCACTGTCAAGTCTAACACTGTCTGGGAACGTGAGTAAAATACCACCCATATAACACCGTCACTGTCAACCCTAACACTTACTGTGAGCGTGAGTAAAATACCACCCATATAACACCGTCACTGTCAACCCTAACACTGTCTGCGAACGGAAGTAAAATACCACCCATATAACACCATCACTGTCAACCCAAACACTGTCTGTGAACGTAAGTAAAATACTACCCATATAACACCATCACTGTCAACCCTAACGTGAGTAAAATACCACCCATATAACACCGTCACTATCAACCCTAACACTGTCTGTGAACGTAAGTAAAATACCACCCATATAACACCATCACTGTCAAGCCTAACACTGTCTGTGAACGTGAGTAAAATACCATCCATATACCACCATCACTGTCAACCCTAACACTTACTGTGAACGTGAGTAAAATACCACCCATATAATACCGTCACTGTCAACCCTAACACTGTCTGTGAACATAAGTAAAATACCACCCATATAACACCATTACTGGTAACCAAAACACTGTCTGTGAATGTGAGTAAAATCCCAACAATATGACACTAGCTGTGACTGGACACTAGTGTCTAACAAATAGAATTATTTACTAAAAGAATAAAACATTATAGTTACAATGATTGATTTGGAGGTAATTTAACACTTTAGTCTACATTTTATATGTGGAGTGGTGACATCTTGTCATACTCTCTCAAATGCTATGACAAGCTATTAACACATGATTAATAATGTGCTTATCAGGAATACGCTTTCCTGTTCAGATATGAGCAATTTTCACCTCCAATTAAAAGAACTCTAGTAAATAAATACGCGGGAAATATCATCGTGACGAAAACTTTTCTGATAGATTGGAGGAAACATTAAAACATCGTTGTCATCGTCTATCTTTGTTTCCTTAAAAGCTACTCTTTTCTGTCAGGAATCAATCACACCTTTGCATCTACCGACTCTCAAAGTAAGCAATGCCAAATACGTTGGTTTTCCTCCTCCTTCTTCTTTTTGACTCTTTAATCACTGTAGACCCTAATGTACTCTTCCCGATCTAGCCATGGTAGAGCCTGCTGAAAATTACATTGGGTTGAAAAGATGAAATTAACCTGTAATTTATAACCATACAGGTTAAGACTTTATTGTATAACTACACTGTATGACTACCGACTACCTTGTCCTGTAGCTATCAAGTGCCCAGATCTGGACAATGTGTTACTGGAGTCGAGCTGTCTGTCTAAAGCTGGTACTGAATGTGGATTTACTTGCAAGGGTGGCTACACGGCTGTTCATCAGGGGCGAGTGGCTTGCCAACCAGACAGCACATGGTCCATGACATCGAATGAGCTCTGTCAAGGTAAGTCTGTTACAAGTGTACTGATCAGCTTTGTCTTAACTCTTTCCATACCGTTGTGTACAGACAACAAAATAATATCCGTCTCATCCCCGTTGATTTCAGCTGTAAACTTGTTACCTGTGTCCATATTAGCTTATTATAGCAAACATGAGTATACTTATTTCAGCTGTGACTTGTGATGAGACACAGAACATTTTCAGCTGTATTTTGTAATGAGACATTGTGCATATTTCAGCTGTAACTTGTTATAGACGCTGTACATTTTTCAGCCGTGATTTGTAATGACACATTATACTTGTGTCAACTGTGACTTATAATGACACATTGTACTTGTTTCAGCCGTGACTTGTAATGACACATTGTACTTGTTTCAGCCGTGACTTGTAATGAGACATTGTACTTATTTCAGATGAGAATTGTAATGATACATTGTACTTGTGTCAGCTGTAACTTATAATGACACATTATACTTGTGTCAACTTTGACGTTTAATGACACATTGTACTTGTTTCAGCTTTGACGTTTGATGACACATTGTACTTGTTTCAGCTTTGACGTTTAATGACACATTGTACTCGTTTCAGCCGTCACTTGTGATGAGACATTGCCAGGAACAATCCTGTCGCCTGGAACGACTCCCAAAGCCAACATGGATTTTACTTTCACATGTGAAGATAATTTAGTCAAAAATAATGACGTTCGATCGGTGCGGTGTATGACTACCGGATCGTGGAGTATAAAGTCAAGCTCACTGTGTACTGGTAGGTGTCGATTTCAGTGTCTATACATATAATAAGATGAGTGTTTATACAATCAGTTGCCTAGTAAGTGTCGACTAAAGTGTTTATACAGTCAGTTGTCTGGTAAGTGTCGACTACAGTGTTTATACAGTCAGTTGTCTAGTAAGTGTCGACTAAAGTGTTTATACAGTCAGTTGTCTGGTAAGTGTCGACTACAGTGTTTATACAATCAGTTGTCTGGTAAGTGTCGACTACAGTGTTTATACAGTCAGTTGTCTGGTAAGTGTCGACTATAGTGTTTATACAGTCAGTTGTCTGGTAAGTGTCCACTACAGTGTTTATACAATCAGTTGTCTAGTAAGTGTCGACTACAGTGTTTATACAGTCAGTTGTCCGGTAAGTGTCGACTATAGTGTTTATACAGTCAGTTGTCTGGTAAGTGTCGACTACAGTGTTTATACAATCAGTTGTCTAATTAGTGTCGACTACAGTGTTTATACAGTCAGTTGTCTGGTAAGTGTTGACTACAGTGTTTATACAGTCAGTTGTCTGGTAAGTGTCGACTATAGTGTTTATACAGTCAGTTGTCTAGTAAGTGTCGACTATAGTGTGTATACAGTCAGTTGTCTGGTCAGTGTCGACTACAGTGTTTATACAACCAGTTGTCTAGTAAGTGTCGACTATAGTGTTTATACAGTCAGTTGTCTGGCAAGAGCCGGCTACAGTGTGTATACAGTCAATTGTATAGTAAGTGTCGACTACAGTGTGTATACAGTCAGTTGTCTGGTAAGTGTCGACTATAGTGTTTATACAGTCAGTTGTCTAGTAAGTGTCGACTATAGTGTTTATACAGTCAGTTGTCTGGTAAGAGCCGGCTACAGTGTGTATACAGTCAATTGTCTAGTAAGTGTCGACTACAGTGTGTATACAGTCAGTTGTCTGGTAAGTGTCGACTACAGTGTTTATACAGTCAGTTGTCTGGTAAGTGTCGACTACAGTATTGATACACTCAGTTGTCTGCTAGGTGTCGACTACAGTGTTTATACACTCAGTTGTCTAGTAAGTGTCGACTATGGTGTTTATACAGTCAGTTGTCTAGTAAGTGTCGACCACAGTGTTTATACCGTCAGTTGTCTGGTAAGTGTCGACTCCAGTGTTTATACCGTCAGTTGTCTGGTAAGTGTCGACTTCAGTGTTTATACAGTCAGTTGTCTGGTAAGTGTTGACTATAGTGTTTATACAGTCAGTTGTCTAGTAAGTGTCGCCTACAGTGTTTATACAGTCAGTTGTCTAGTAAGTGTCGCCTACAGTGTTTATACAGTCAGTTGTCTAGTAAGTGTCGCCTACAGTGTTTATACAGTCAGTTGTCTGGTAAGGGTCGACTACAGTGTTTATACAGTCAGTTGTCTAGTAAGTGTCGACTATAGTGTTTATACAGTCAGTTGTCTGATAAGTGTCGACTACAGTGTTTATACAATCAGTTATCTGGTAAGTGCCGACTACAGTGTTTATACAGTCAGTTGTCTGGTAAGTGTTGACTATAGTGTTTATACAGTCAGTTGTCTGGTAAGTGTCGACCTCAGTGTTTATTTAGTCAGTTGTCTGGTAAGTTTAGACTACAGTGTTTATACAGTCGGTTGTCTGGTAACAGATGGACCGATAATCGTCCTAGATCACTTAGCTTTTGATCAATCTTATGTTTTACAAATGATTAAGTAGTCATTCGATTTGTCAAACATATAATAAGGGACTATAAATAAAATACTAAAATATTGAATGTGGTTCTGAAGATCAAGTACAGCGTTTGTGAATTGTATAACAAATATGTCATCAACATAGTGATATATCATACACGAGAACACATAAATCACCTCGATCAAAAAATAGAAAAAAGAATGACAGTCATCTTTCAAAACGTTTGATTTAGACGCACTATATCTTCAGTTCTATGCATAAATGGCATGAATTAGGGAGTCTGGAAATATATATTGTGCATATTTTCTAACGTTGAATATTTGCAAAGGAACAAATACACTAAAATATAATGTTATCTTACATTGAAAGATTACTTGTAAATTTCTACTAATCCTTACCACCACGTCACACTAATTTTGTCACTATATGTAGACATGCGTAACGGTGTCTAATGCACCTTAATATTGGTGAATTCAAATCTATGACTTTTCCGAAATTTTGAAATTTCACCTCATCTTAATTCGATGTTCCAGTGGCCAGTGTGACCGGTACTGAGAGTCAGACAAGTAGTGCTAATGTAGGTGCGGGCGTTGGATATGGTGTCCTAGCCATGGTGGCGCTCATTCTCGTCATCCTGGCCATAGGCTACTTCTACTACCGTAGCAGGTAAGTTATCTGATTATTTACTTTGTTGTGTTATTAAAAACATTGAAATACATGTACGTGTCATAACTTAAACATTTTGTATATTATATGTCGTTATTAAGACAGCAAGTTTCCCTGCCGTAACTAAGAGAACAGTTACTATGCTGTTACTAAGACAGCATGCTTACTTGTCGTAGCTTAGAGATCAGATACTATGTTGTTACTAAGACAGCAAGTTTACCTGTCGTAGCTTAAAGAACAGATACTATGTTGTTACTAAGACAGCAAGTTTACCTGTCGTAGCTTAGAGATCAGATACTATGTTGTTACTGAGACAGCAAGCTTACCTGTCGTAGCTTAGAGAACAGATACTATGTTGTTACTAAGACAGCAAGCTTACCTGTCGTAGCTTAGAGAACAGATACTATGTTGTTACTAAGACAGCATGCTTACCTGTCGTAGCTAAGAGAGCACACAATATGTCGTTTCTATAACAGAATGTTTCTAATTTCTAAGATATTTTGCCATTTCTAAGGTAGAACCAAAGCTTATACTTCAAATACTGTTTTAAACGTTTCAGGGACGTCCAAGATTTGTTCATTTAATCAAGTCAAATTATGCCATACTGATGTTATACAAAATAAAATCTGCATGTTTTTCAGACGAACCAGCAAAGCTCGATTCGTGGAATCTCCTAATGTGAAGTTTTCAGGGAACAATGAATTTCACAACCCTACAGCTCATATTGATGGCACCAATATTTCAAACCCCCAATATGGCATAACGGATTCAGCCACAAACAATCCAATGACGTCAGACTTACATCCCTATGAGAACCTCCCGGAAGTGAAAAGCATGGACTTGTCGGAGGCTAATGGGGCGAATACTAACCCTTATCACAAGTTCTGATTATACAGCTATCACGGACAGAAATGTTGGCTAATAGTTTGTTGATTAGTTTACGTCAACACTGGTTTAGTTGTGTTAAAAAATAGAGGGGTGGATCTTCTACTTTTAAAATATAGCCAAATTAGAATGAGTTTTTTAAGATCGTTCAACAAAATAAAAGATGCAGATTTTAGCAATTTGATTTGTAAAAAAAGTGATGACGAAGACCCCTGTCATCAACTGCACCAAATCTCTTCTATGAAATCTGTGTTTTCACTATTACGAATACGGTAGCATCTGGTTATATTGGCGTTTCTTGTGAGTAATAGAGAATATTGGTAATACATCTACTGGTGTCTGCTGTAAAGGACTGCTAATATACACAGGCAAAACTAATGCTATGGACTTAATGCTAAATATGTTTGCACACATCTTTCTTGCGATGCATTGATATCTTCGACAATTCTTAAATAAATTGTCAGCTTAATATTTACTTAGCATACAATCTTGTATAGAAATCCACGCTGTGAGTAAGACTGTAGTAATCCTCTCTGTTCTAACAGTGAGACTGTAGAAATCCTCTCTGTTCTAACAGTAAGACTAGAAATCATCTCTGTTCTAACAGTGAGACTGTAGAAATCCTCCCTACTCTAACAGTGAGATTGTAGAAATCCTCTCTGTTCTAAGAGTGAGACTGTAGAAATCCTCCCTACTCTAACAGTGAGATTGTAGAAATCCTCCCTACTCTAACAGTGAGACTGTAGAAATCCTCTCTGTTCTAACAGTGAGACTGTAGAAATCCTCCCTACTCTAACAGTGAGATTGTAGAAATCCTCTCTGTTCTAACAGTGAGACTGTAGAAATCCTCCCTACTCTAACAGTGAGATTGTAGAAATCCTCCCTGCTCTAACAGTGAGATTGTAGAAATCCTCCCTGTTCTAACAGTGAGATTGTAGAAATCCTCTCTGTTCTAACAGTAAGACTAGAAATCATCTCTGTTCTAACAGTGAAATTGTAGAAATCCTCTCTGTTCTAACAGTGAGATTGTAGAAATCCTCTCTGTTCTAAGAGTGAGACTATAGAAATCCTCCCTACTCTAACAGTGAGATTGTAGAAATCCTCCCTGCTCTAACAGTGAGATTGTAGAAATCCTCTCTGTTCTAACAGTAAGACTAGAAATCATCTTTGTGCTAAAAGTGAGACGAGAAATCCTCTCTGTTCTAAGAGTGAGACTAGAAATCCTCCCTGCTCTAACAGTGAGATTGTAGAAATCCTCTCTGTTCTAACAGTAAGACTAGAAATCATCTTTGTGCTAAAAGTGAGACGAGAAATCCTCTCTGTTCTAAGAGTGAGACTAGAAATCCTCCCTGCTCTAACAGTGAGATTGTAGAAATCCTCTCTGTTCTAACAGTAAGACTAGAAATCATCTTTGTGCTAAAAGTGAGACGAGAAATCCTCTCTGTTCTAAGAGTGAGACTAGAAATCCTCCCTGCTCTAACAGTGAGATTGTAGAAATCCTCTCTGTTCTAACAGTAAGACTAGAAATCATCTTTGTGCTAAAAGTGAGACGAGAAATCCTCTCTGTTCTAAGAGTGAGACTAGAAATCCTCCCTGCTCTAACAGTGAGATTTTAGAAATCCTCTTTGTTCTAACAGTGAGACTAGAAATCATCTCTGTTCTAACAGTGAGACTGTAGAAATCCTCTCTGTTCTAACAGTGAGACTAGAAATTCTCTCTGTTCTAACAGTGAGACTAGTAATCCTCTCTGTTCTAACAGTGAGACTAGAAATCATCTCTGTGCTAAAAGTGAGAGGAGAAATCCTCTCTGTTTTAACAGTGAGACTATAGAAATTCTCTCTGTTCTAACAGTAAGACTAGAAATCCTCTCTGTTCTAACAGTAAGACTTGGAATTCTCTTTGTTCTAACAGTAAGACTTGAAATTCTCTTTGTTCTAACAGTAAGACTTGAAATTCTCTCTGTTTTAACAGTAAGACTTGAAATTCTCTCTGTTTTAACAGTAAGACTTGAAATTCTCTCTGTTTTAACAGTAAGACTTGAAATTCTCTCTGTTTTAACAGTAAGACTTGAAATTCTCTCTGTTTTAACAGTAAGACTTGAAATTCTCTCTGTTTTAACAGTAAGACTTGAAATTCTCTCTGTTTTAACAGTAAGACTTGAAATTCTCTCTGTTTTAACAGTAAGACTTGAAATTCTCTCTGTTTTAACAGTAAGACTTGAAATACTCTCTGTTCTAACAGTGAGACTAGAAATACTCTCTGTTCTAACAGTAAGACTTGGAATTCTCTTTGTTCTAACAGTAAGATTAGAAATCCTCTCTGTTCTAACAGTAAGACTAGAAATCCTCTCTGTTCTAACAGTGAGACTAGAAATTCTCTCTGTTCTAACAGTAAGACTTGAAATACTCTCTGTTCTAACAGTAAGACTAGAAATACTCTCTGTTCTAACAGTAAGACTAGAAATCCTCTCTGTTCTAACAGTAAGACTAGAAATCCTCTCTGTTCTAACAGTGAGACTAGAAATTCTCTCTGTTCTAACAGTAAGACTTGAAATACTCTCTGTTCTAACAGTGAGACTGTAGAAATCCTCTCTGTTCTAACAGTGAGACTAGAAATCATCTCTGTGCTAAAAGTGAGACGAGAAATCCTCTCTGTGGTAACAGTAGAAATCCATTGATTTTGTGATTACAAGACCAAGACTTCCGGTAATGTCCTACAGAAAAAAATACATGTTAGGTTAAAAGATATTTCTGTTTTACATCCAACAACTCTAACAGACCAGCTAAGTAACTGTGACAACTGTTATATGAACATTCTTGTAATGCTTTCTATTTGAAATGAGTATTTGATGTCAAAACCGATAGAAGACTGTGATCTCAACAAAGGAATGGATGCTGATCCGTAGGAGAAAGTAGTTGGTAAGATCAGACTGGTATGAAAGAGAATTATTTAATGTCAGTTTACATAGAATGGCATATTAATTGTGTTTGTCACACAAAACCTGTGATACCTACCTTTATGGATAAATATTACCACCTGCAAACAAGTTGTATTGGTATATTTTACAATTCGGTTTTTGTATAGAAAACAGATGTGATTATATATATAAATTGTAAATAGATTTATATGTGTGTTTGTATATGTAAATATATATCAAAAAGTATATATGTTATATATGTATACACTGCTAACTTGTACTTGGAATTTTTATACATTTTACTTGCCCATTTAATAATTTAGCCTCCAAGGCATATTGTATAACTTTGTATGTTTTTAACCAGAGAACGTTTTCATAAGATTGTTTCATTACCATATTACGTGTTGTGTATGGTAGCCATACATATGCCTCATTTTCTTTTCCTGTTACCATTTAATTAATTGATATAACCATTTATCAAATTATTTCTACCAAGCTGTACCAGATTTAAGACATTATTTGTCATTGTTCGTTATAATTTCTTCGATGTATTGTTCAATTTCCTATGCTTGAAAAGATAATTATCGTCCTGCCCACCATTTGCTTAATTAATATGGTCATATGTTCTGTCTGTGCAAACATGACCATATCTGGTCATTGTTAATAGGGTATCACGCAAAGGTAAAGCATGGAAAGTATATAACGTCTGATATGGGGGTTTTATGAAAAAGACTTTTGGCAATTGAAGACCATTAAATTGTTTGAAGAAAGATTACACAATTGTTTATTGATATAGTTGTACTTGGTTGATAGCTTGATGCCGTCCGTTTGATTGAGTCATTCCTATAATTGTCGGACGCCGCAGTAGCCTTACTTGTGATGCTTTCCTCTTCATCAAGTCATCAATGTTGACGTTGGGCACCATATCATCCTTACATTGTACATGATTGATGCCTTAACTTCCTTTTTATTGAGTTATTGATATAAACTGCAGACATCTTAGCTTGCTTTATCTGGCATCTTCCATATGTTTTGACTAATTGAGGTAATGTCTTCCCAACTACAGTTAAGGTCCATCAGAAAGGTATACTCAAATTCATCCATAACATGGTTCTTACTGAACGGAAATATATATATTTTACATTGAACAGTGTTTTGTTTATTTGTTACTTCTCAATCTTTCCGATACAATAATCTAGCTTATCACACACAATAACAAATACATTCTTTCCGGTACAATAATTATCTAGCTTATCACACACAATAAAAGATACATTCTTTCCGGTACAATAACTATCTAGATAACCACACAAAATAACAGATACATTCGTTCCGGTGCAATAATTATCTAGCTTATCACGCATAATTAAAGATACATTCTTTCCGGTACAATAATTATCTAGCTTATCACACACAATAACAAATACATTCTTTCCGGTACAATAATTATCTAGCTTATCACACACAATAAAAGATACATTCTTTCCG